AAACATGATGAATCCCGCCTAATAACACTGGACATTTTAAAGGCATTCGACAAAGTGTGACATGCGGACCTCCTTAACAAACTGGGATCTTATGGCTTTCTACCGACCAATCCATAGATAGATACACCTCTCAAAGGATTCCGTTCCCCACCCTTGTCCTGTTTGATATATACCAACGATCTGCTAGGTAGAACACCCCAATGACTTCTGCCGACCCACCATATCACAACTATCAGCTCAGATCTTAACATCATTTTAGAGTGAATAGAAGCAATGTGATCGAATTTAATGCAACTAAGACTCAGGCTGCTGTTTTTACAAAGAAGGCTGCTCCAGACCTTACTCTGTCCGGGCTTACTTTGCCCCTGTCTTTTTCGATGAGGTTGTTGTAGGCTGTATACACCGAAAAAGCTTCGTCCATCTTTGGAGTATTGCTCGTACATGTGGAGTTCTGCCCCCAAGCTCACTTTGAAACTGCTCGATTCGATCCAGAAGAGAGCCATTCGTCTGATAGGAGATCTGCAGATAACAGGAAGTTTGGCACACAGAAGGAAGGTGGCGGAACTGACTCTGTTTTACTGATACTATTACGGTAAATACTCTTCCGAATTGTCAGAAATGATCCCATCCAGAGCATATAGACAGACGTGGCTCATGATCATTGTGGTGGAAAATATGAAAATTGTTTAGTGGACTGTATGATTTGGAAAAAATGGAAATAAATGTTTAAACCCGGTACTGGTCCAAACTGAAATGTGTTGACTGTAGCAGAGTACTCTGTAGCTTCTTAGGGTAGTAAAATAGGGGCAGTTTCGTTGTAGTGACCGAACCGTCCGATACGACACGAATTTGTACGGGTCGCGTAGCGAGAGTGTGTTATCTACTCTGCAGCCGAGAATATATTATTTTTAAAATCTCAGACAAGGCAGCATAAAATGCAGCTGCTTCCAGCAAGTGACGTGTGCGCATATGATAAATGAAAAAAGTCGCTAATGAAAAATATAGGCACAATCGAACTTTGTAGATTGCTCTACACAAACTAAAATAGGCAAAAAGCCCTTTTGAGAGTTTCCTAAACAATCATAGAGTGCAGCTGTAGACGCCTAGTGTCAGGGCCGTGCATAGGGGGGCGCGGCCGGTACAAATTACCAGGGCCCGGATTCCGTAGGGGCCCGGCCCGACATCTCGAAAGAAAAGTTTTATGGTTGAAACTATTTTTTTTTCAACTCACTTTCGCAAGCTGATCATGGTCCAACTCTCTTGATTCGAATGGAATATCCTAAATATTATTGAATATTCGGATTCTATGTAAAATTCTGAGCATATTTCATGTGATATACCCTATAATCTGTTTTGAGTGTTTTGGAAATATTGACATCAGTTAAAAATTAACTTTTTTCTATGAGTATTGAATAATATGCGTAATATACATCCATTTTCTATTGATCAATGGGAGATAACTCATACAGTGATTTTTTTTTTTCATTACTTAATTGTTTTCAACCAATGAAAATATCCTGGTCTCAGTACTCCACTATTTAAAAGTCAATCAGAAAATTCGACAAGTTGACAACATACTTCATCTTCCAATCGGTCATTTTGACAGCTGATTTGGGCAAGACTTGTGCTAACCTAACCTCACTTTGTCCTCCAGCTGAATTGTAAATTAATTTTGTCACGACGAAAATTAAATAAAAAATCGCATAACTCGTGCCTATTTTCTATTAATCATATAGAAAAAGTATAGTATTCTACTCGTAGGTAATGGATATTACTCACTCGGATGATTACACTACTCGCCTGCGGCTCGTAGTGCAAACTTCATCCTTCGTGAGTAATAGCCATTATTACCCGCTCGTTGAATATATACTATTTTTGCAACTTTGACAGGCTGTAAAACCTAGACATTTAATTTAAGAGCAAAACCGTAAACCGTTACATTCATAAACCATCATTTAACACTAACTTAAAATTTAAAAAAGTGTTGAAAGACCACACCAAAAGTCCGACGAATGCAACAATAGTTGCTGTAGTTTCAGTCATAGAGAAATATAATAAACCAGGGTGAGAGTTACCGATTCTGTGGTACGACACTGGCAACGCGATGACGTCAGATCGATACTAGCGCCACCGTACACTACAAGACCAACTTAAATAACATTTGGCGGGCTTTTTGAACTTTTAAATTATAGTTTTGTTATTTCTGAAGGTAGAAATTTAACCCAGCGTTTTTACGCGGTCGACAGAAAAAAAATTGCGGAAAAACGCTGGCCTGGGAACAAAAATAAATACGGTTAATCGCTTAAAATTGACTCATATATTTTCATCTTTCGAAATTAACAAAGAACATACGTATACAAATAAAATAAATATACATAAACAACGTAAATAAAGAAATAATAAAAATTAAATTATACTTATACCGCAAGATAACAACAAAAAAAAGCAAATACAGCCAAAACATCTCACTTTCTACTAATAATAGGTTACTATTTGATAATTATCATTACTTATGTATAAACTGAGCGATTTTCACATTGTATATCTCGTAAATCTTACCAGAATCATGCATTTTTAAATCAACTGATAAATTGAGATTTAGGTTGACTAATTTGTGTCCAAAATTTTTTTGTCAGTTTTGAACATGTCATTGTACAATAATTAAAAAATCCTTTGTCCTCTTTTCCTTTATTATCGCATCTGTTAAAAAGAGATAGATATGAGAATGGAAGGTGATGTCAGAATTGTCAGATAGTTCCAAGCTATGCTAGCGACACCATGTGCTACAAGAAACAACTAGAAATACGTTGCCACTTCGCGCATATGAATCGGTAACTCTTACCTTGGTTTATTATATTTCTCTATGGTTTCAGTTTTTATCAGTTTTTGTTTTTCACGTTGTCAAATTGAAAAAATGAATAAAAAGTTGTCAAATAATTTGATCCACTTCTGCTATCTTTTTCGAATTAAAATAACCTGTAGTAAATACAAACAACACTTCTTTCCCGAACACTACACCTTCGAACCAGTGGTCGCGCTCGAGGAGTCGGGGTTTTCTCTCATGGGCCGGAGTATTTCATTCCATCCCATGTAGACAACGTGTAAAAGAACAACACTGATTCTGAGAAAAGATGACAAATCAGACAATAATGTCGATCCATTCGGACCTTTTGGAAAAATGAAAACAAAATACATATATCGTCTTTAATTTGAATGATCTGTGATGTAATACATCATACACTGAAAAAAAGGATTCCTCAATTCAAAGTAATATGCACTTTATTCAATGAAATTGCGACTTTGGATATGGCCAAGTGAATATTCTCTTCAAAAAAGTTAAATGTTTTCTTGTCATAGGATTGTTCGAATACTTTACTGGAAAGAAATAAGTTCTTGTCTCAAGAACACTATCCCAATATATTGAACACAATTACTTAATTTTCCAATTTTCTTGTTCCAAGAAATTTATTCAATTCCATTGAAGATCAAAGTACCTACTTAGTTGAAGATCTCAATTTTTTCATTAGACGTCATCAGCGCTTGAGTGAAGATGAGAATTTTTTGCCTAAAATCCATAGGTATTTGATGATAGGATTATTAGTCACAAAGAAACATCAGATTTTGTTTATTTTTGAAAATATTTATTAGCCTAAGAATTCAAACAATTTTTACAAAATATTGGCCCACTGACTAAAATAGTACCTATATTGTGTATTTAGTATTTAGGTGGAAAAGTGACACATTCTCGGCCGACGGTGTAAGTTGTCGGGCGAGGCGTAGCCGAGGCCGGCAAACACCGAAGGGGAAACGGGATATAACTGTTCAAATTGAAATGTAGTCGCACGTCCGAGTAGGTCGTAGGCAGCAAGTTATACTATACTGCTAGGCACTACACAACGGGGTTGGAGGGCATTGGCAGAAACATGAATTTTGAATAAGATTCTGGAATATTCAATCAAAAAACAAGATTCTTGGCCCAAATAACAAGGAGCTTAACAATTATGCAATAAAAGATTATTCTTGGTATAAGAGAATATAATTTCGCCTGAAAGAAATGTCATTCAAGAGTAATTTTAAAAAATATTAAGAACCACGTTGTTGTTACAAATATTGTATGGCAACTTGCTAATGAACATGCTTATGGGTTGTACCTTTTCCAACGTCGAAAACTTGTATTTTTTTTCAGGGTCACAACATATCTCTGGATAAGGCAAAAAATCCTCTTAACTCGGACATGGATATGAGGTACTTGCTGCAAAAGACTGAGCTTGTAATTCTGATTTAATATTTTTTGAAATCTGTGTTTGACCTAAAGATAAAGGGGTATCAGTAGATTAGAACTTCAGCAAGAACACCAAGACAATAATAATTATCCTTTTGTTATCGACTCTATCATTTAAGTAATTAATAAAACCACGATTTATTTTCGGTGAGAAATGGTAATCTATTCATGAAAATTACAATAAGCTTCTTCAAAAGAAAAGACGGAAAATCTTTATATAGCTGCCTCCGATGAAGGGTAACAGCTAAGTGTTCCCATCAGTACCTCGATGGTCCGAGGTATGGTCTTTTTGCCTGCGCTTGGGTACTTTATGACGTCTATAAACCCATAATCCGTCTATACCCCAATGTACTGTTGTCATTTCGACGATAATCAAGGCTGGGTAATAATCTAGAGGAACAATGACTATGACACATAAAAATATTTTCAATACAATCGCGATGAATAAAATTTTCGAAACATCCGTTCTACGTTTTATCGTTCTTCCTTTTCCTGTTCCTTTTACTCTTTATCGCCAACTCCGAAAAGTGTCCTTTGCCGATTATAGTAGAACTTGGACACGCTCCGCCCCGGACAAGCGCCGCGGCACGGCAACGCCGCAGCGTTTCGTACGTTTTCGCTCTTCTTCGCCTGCGTCATTGCGACCTACTAACCTCATTAGCGGACCTCGCGACGCCGATTCGCTGCGATCGCGACCGATCTCATTGAGTCGGCGACGGTCCTCAAGTTAAGAACGTAGTTGGCGCGCGACTCAGCGTTCAGATGAGACCGGTTTCGATGATGGAACGAAGAAACGAGATCCGTCAGCCGGTCTCTTAAAAAAAAAAAGGAAATTTGACATCAGCGCGAATTTTTATCCGCGTAAAAACTGTTTTGTACCTCGATGGTGCTGACTTGGATTATTATAACTCTACTACTACTGTGACAAGTGAATAAATGATTGTTGATATTTAGTGGCTGTGCGAAATGATGAAGGATATATAGATGTGCTCTAGTCAGTGCTGTGATAAAAACCGTTTTGGATAGTAGTATGTTGGAACACAGTGCTATGTATCTCAACGTAACTCCTCCTTACGAAGACGACTCGTCTTTCTTTCCAGACTTCTATACACGGTGGGTGAACAAAACAAGATTTTGATTATCATTTTCCAAAAAAACTGGCTCGAAGGACAGTTTTTCAAGCACCGGCTTTCAAGAGCAATTTCCAAAATGTTTGCCTCAAACCGCAAGCTCCTTGTCACCGTTTTAAAACACGAAATGTTCGTTTTATGACAAAAATCACTGGGCCTTCGAGCCGGTTACTGTGCAATACCCACTTAAACCGAAAGACTGGTACTTTCATTACCATATCATTAAAAAAATACATATACACCATCTGCTTCATGTTACTATTTTATTACTTGGTACTACTACAGAGGTGAGCCCCATAAGACACTATACTCTGTTACATTTTTCATGACAAAACCTTTTTTAAACTAGTTTCGAAAACTGGTTTGGAAAATCCACTCGCTTAAGGAACAACCTAATTGGTTTTTTGGTTTATTAACATTAACAGAGTAGGTAAAAAAAAAATCTGATTCTTCAAGGTTCTATGCTCTTATTATTATAATCCTGGAAATTATTATGGGATCGTAAAATGTTTATGAAAGGATCGTGCCTGGACCTCGACAGACGAAATATTGGTAGCTATGTGCTTATTTATATTGTCGTAAAATATGACATAAAATTCAAATATAGACTATGAACTCTATTGTAAAGTCTTGGACTAGAACAGAAGTGCATGTACTTAAAGTTTTTATGGGTTATTCTTGTTTAATAACCATAACACCACAAGTATCATTGCTTTTCCGTTTAAATAACCTTTTCAAAATCATGTATTCACGTCAAAACTTCACTCTAAAATACTTTGAAATACGGAAGGAAGTTTGCATGTAAATTTTGCCCTTTTATATCGCGTTCCAGTTTAACTTGTCCTTCCTCAACCCAACGACTTAAGTATTCTTGGTGCACTTTAATAATTGCGTTTCAAGCTCCGACCCTCAGGGCGGATTCTTCGAAACTTTTAATAGTTTTGTAACTCATAAGAAATGACTATTGGCACAGCAAGATAATCGATATTGAAGGCACCAAAAATAAACGTCTGATCTAATAAAATGGCCGATCCACTGATTGATTGAATGTTAAACATTTTGTTTTTGGCAACGGAAATAATAATTGTAACCATTTTGGACGGTCGTGACTATTTATTTGAAAGTCAAAGTCCGCATCGAAGGACCATAAGCCGTGTTTGAAATTCTATTCGATTCGGTAATCGGAGTGAATGGCAATCGTGCTTGATTGCTACCGTGATGATCCTCTGTAGTTATTTATGTCCAAGGGAAAAAACCACCTAGGAATTCTTTGCCGAAACTGTGACGAATTTAGAGGAATTTATGGAAAATGGGGTAATATTTATTGGTTTTAAACAGTAAAAAAAAAATCCCCTGTATAATACACGACAAAGTGGTAAACACGTTGTGTGTAAAAACTATACACCATTGTTCGTAAAGTGCCGTCCACTTAACCAACAGTATTTTGGTAAACTTATCTCACACAATACAGTGTTGAATCAAAGTTATATCCTGGTTCCGTGTTACTCTCATGACAATATGTAATTTTTTACACCATTCTCATTAAATGAACACCAAAAATGTTTAAATTTACACGGTAGACGAACGTTTATAGACCCAATAGTGAGTCGGGTTAAGTCCTCCGTCCTCTACCTTCTTTTGTATGACAGTGATCAGTTCCAAGCGTGCTGATGCGCTGATGGGATGGTTGAGGTTCATTTGTCGTTGTCTACAATAAAAATCATTTGAAACCAAAACCAAAGTCTCCAAAACTTAAGAGTTACGCCATAAATGAACAGTTTTTTAATGTGTTTTATATGATTTTTGGAAAAGTCGCACATTTTCACGTCTATTCTGGTTGAAAATATTTGATCCGATAGCTATTTTTATTTTATTGTAATGTTAATCCTCAATAATTTTAGTTTTACCAGTTTAATTTAATATTACCTATACCTCCCATTAAATTAAATAGGTTAAGCTGAAAAAGTTAAGGATGAAACATCAGAAAATAAAATAAAATAAAATAAAAATAACTATCGAAATATCAAATATTTTCAACAGACTAGTCGTAAAAAATGCGACTTTCCAAAAAATCATACAAAAAACAGGATGTTCCATCCTGTACATTAACACTATTCGGTGTATTCTATTTACCACTGTTTTGTGTAAATACAACACGCATATTGGAAATACGTACACTGTTGCAGAGCTGTCAGTACTTCAAGTAAATTACTTGGAAAATGTATTTCAATTACTTTTTAGTATTTGAAGTACTATAATTCAAATACTTTTGTTTTTGAATATTTGTACTTGATTCTGCAATTACTTTAAATAAAGTATTTGTATTTACAAAAAAAGTAATTCAAATACTGGACATTTGTACTCAAAATACTTAAAATATTTCAAATATTTCAAATACCCCAGAAAATAAAAGGTATTTGAAATACCTCAGAAAGTAAGCAGATATGACCGACAATTTTTATGCACTGGATGGTTCCTCCACTCCTTGGAGAGTCTTTAAAATAAAAAGAAAATTCGAATTGGAAATTCTTCAATATGCAGAGGATATTAGTATAGATATAAAATGCTTGGATAGGTTTCCTGTCATAAAAGAAGTTTTTCATAGGTACCCACAATACGTGTCTTCCGTCATCAGCCCCTGTAGAAAGACTTTTTAGTTTTGCAGAAATAGTGAACACACCTCGAAGGCATAACAATCCCACTGCACTTTATTTCTTAATCAACCTTTTCTAGATAAATTTTAAATCGTTAAATTGAAAGTAACTACAATCTGCAACTGGAATCTTGGAATCTGGAATCTCTGTAGTACTTTTTTAGAGGTATTACAATATACAGGGTGTTCCTAAATATCTTGTACAAACGGAAGGGGTAGATTCTTTGGCTCATTTTATGACTAAAATTTCTGATAAACATAGGTACGCAAACGCTTGGTTACCGATCTACAGGGTGTTGAAATTTCAATATTTTTTTAGTTTTTTCTTTATAGCTCCTGCAATATTTGAGGAATTTAGCTCAAATTTGGATTATAGGTTAGGTACGCAATAGGCGCTAAATGATTGCACGTGTCAAACGTTTGCCAGAATTTACAGGGTGATGTTTTTTCAGCGGTCATGCCCCCTTTTCTGCCCCTGAACTTTTTTGCGATGCGCCGCTGGTAGATTCTAAAAAACAAAATAATTTTTCTACTTTATTCAGAAACTTTTTGTTCTCTTGTAGTTTTGTCCTATGACCGACCCTTATCGAGAAAACAATTAAGAGACAAATCTCTATAATTTGCTAGATGAAACTACAGTAACTCAATGAACCTTTTCTACTTACAGTGACGACAATAGAGGTCCCGCCGCCATATTTTTGCTCATTTTCAATAGGAATCTAGAATTAAGCCACATGCCTTCGCCGCCATATTCTTGCTCATTTTCAATATGAATACATCAAAATTTGAACACCCTGTAAACCGATGTTTATTAGAAATTTTAATCATAAAATAAACCAAAGAATCATCCCCTTCCGTTTGTACATGATGTTTAGGAACACCCTGTATATTTTCTGCTTTCAATACAATTTAAAAAAAAATCATTGAATATAAAAAAAAATCATTGAATAATTTGAATTCCTTTTTAGTGGGTACTTGAAGTACTTCTTAATATTTGAAATACATATAGGTATTTCAAATATTTAATTAAGTATTTGAAATACTTACAGAGTATTTGAATTAAAGTAATTGAAACTTGAAGTACTTTTTAAATTGAAAGTATTTAGTATTTGTACTTGCAAAATGAATTTCCCGTAATTGATACTTGGTATTTGAAATACTATTTACCAGTATTTGTGACAGCTCTGCACTGTTGTGTGTATATTTAATATAACTTAGTGTAAAAGTTACATGATATATATGGTGTATTATGTTTAACACCGTTTTGTGTAAATTCTTCACGCAAATTCTCGTCAAATTTACCAAGAACCTTGGTGTTAAATATACACAAATTGGTGTGGCCTTATATAGACCACTTTTCGTGTAAAATTTTGCATGATTTTTTTTACTGTGTAACACTGAGAGTAACAAAAATAGAAAAACACATTTTTTATCACGAACAATATTGGGGATTTTTAGGGAATTTGTAACAGGCATTTGCAGGGAATTTGCAAATAGTTTGAAGGAAATTAACAAACTTATGAGGTAATACATGTGTCAATGTCATTTTAGAAGAAATCAAGTTTTCGAAAAACTACATTGAGGTACGATTTATTTATTTTTTTTCTAGAAAATGTTTCAGGTATTGGATTGAAATTTTGCAAGTGGATAGAGAAAAGATTGAAATTTAGGAAAAAATTTGTGGGGAATTTGAAGGAATTTATGAGAAATTGGGGGAATTTTTTGGTTATAACACTGAGCATAACAAAAATAGAAAAATGCATTTCTTATACTAAGCCCAATTTTGGCGATTTTTAGGGAATTTTTAACAGGCATTTGTAAGGAATTTGCGAGCAGTTTTTGCAAGGAATTTGCAAGGAATTTGGAGGAATATATGGGGAATTTGGAGGAATTAGCGAATTATGGTTTGCAAAAATTCGGGGTTGGTGGTTCATCATTCACCCTTTGATTATGTCTTCATACTGATCTAGTTCAAACCAAAATTTGTTTAGGTATTGTTAAAAGTAAGGAAATGTTATAGCGAAAAAACAGCTGCATCTTGTAATAAATGTCATTATAAATAACAAAATCTGAAAAGTAATAGCAGATCCAGATGTTGGATTGAAACCTGATACTTTGAGGATAAAAGAGTGAGTTGATAATAAAATATTCAGCAGATGCAAAATCACGGTTACAATCAAGGTAATTAAGATGTCGAATCGATATTTACGTCTGAGATAAGCGAAAGCAAATTGGTACTTTCTTGGAAAGATGATTGGTCATTTTAATTTTTTGCCTAAGACAAAAAGTTCAATTCTTATAGAATTTTGCACTGCAAAATCAGTATTTTG